CTATGATATATGCCATGTTTCTCCTTTCTTTCCAGCAAGATGCTGATTGGAGGAATGACGTAGACCTGAATTAGCTAGGTATATGTGGGATTTATTTTCTTTCTCATTGAGTTTTCAACATGTGATACAAAATTTATGATGAAGAATCTGTTAAAGCAAAAGCAGAAACAAGCTTCCCCCTCCCAGGTTATACTATTCAAGACCAAAAATAGAAGAAAGAAAAAAAAAATAAGTTTTTTTTTCCAGTCAAATGTACTTTGATACTTGAAAATGAATAAATAAGCAAAGACTTGATGGAAATGTGTGGGCCTTTTTAATCTTAAGGATTATTCCAGCATGCATCTACATCATGCATAGCTACTTAATTACAGCAAGGGTTTATGGTACCAATGTCATTAGAAGATCTTCTGCCTATGGTGAAGGTTTCAACAATGCAGCTGTGCATTTGGATGTATGCATTTGCTCTTGGATTCAAGTCTGTGTAGGCATTTCTAGTGGAATATGGCTTTCAGGGAGGTGAATGTACTTTATAACAATTTGATTGAAACTAGGATGCTCTAAAGCAGATTCTGTCACACCGTACTGCACGCTGTTGGCTCACAGGAAAAACAATGAAGAATCATTTATTAACTATTTCCTAAAATCCTGGTTCGGGGACTGAATATCCATGCATACAACAAGAGCTGATGTGACACGCCGTGTGCTAAGCCAGCTAGATTGTGTAAGGTTGTGACTATGTGTTTCCAGTCCCTGTATTTCCAGTGTGAGTGCACACTGGATTTATTGACATCTGATGCATTTAGCTTTCAGTGTCCCTAAACAGTTTACTACTTCTTCAAAATACTTACAAAGTATGCAACTGGATATGGCTAAAATTCAGGATGTGTTCCTCTGTGGAAGCACACTATGTAAAATCTACCTGGGTTGAATATACAGGTATGAAGCTGAGATCCTTGTACTACAGGATTAACAATGACATGATTGTAATTATAGTAAATTCAAATTCTTTGTGGCCCATTTACCACATGGGACCAGAAATCCACTTGGACTATGAAGATAGTTGTTTAATTCAACAAGAAATACAAACAGCGTCACTATTTACTTCTCAAGCAACTGAGGATACCAGACCTTCTCACTTAGACAAAAACCTGTTGCTTGTTTTGATGCTTAATTTGGTGGAATTATTCAGGACTGACACAAGATTAGCTGAAACCAGAACACGGTCCAAGATACAAAGATATGTCCTTTTTTATGGCTGTCTGTTGTAATATTGAAAGGCAAAAAAACCCGAAACATTATGTTGACTACTGGGAGAAAACATGAACGTTGCTTGGAATTCATGGCTGGAGGAAAGGAATTCTTGAAGTAAAAAAAAATAATTGTAATGGTGAGTTCTATTTTATTAGTTCTACTGCAGCTGCTTACGTATTTTTGACAAAACCCCCAGTCATTTCAAACATAACAAGGAGTTTATATCAAGAAAATTCAGTAAAAACAAGAACTGAGTGATAGTTCTCCCATAGTCAGACGCGTTTCGAGCTGTTCAGTCTGAAATGGGCTCAGCAGCATGCAGGCAGCTCAGAGGGGAACAAGGCGTGTGATGGAGGATTGGATGAGACTGCTCAGGAATGACCGAACATACAAGCTGATATCAAATGGAAGTTTACAATTGCTGGAGCATTTGACTGCTGCAGAAGATCATTAGGAATTTGCTACGTTTCCAAGTTTTTGTCAGCCTAAAGGCAAAGGCTAATGCGTGTAATAATCATAATCACCAGGAAGGCTTTTAGAGAGAAACCAAATTTTTAGGGGAATGAAGGGCTCATTACAGCACTGAGAATTACACAAATTATTATTTTTTAAAGCAAGGCTTGCCATCTCTGATGGCTACACTGTATTAATTAAGCATGAGTTCCCTGGTAGTGAGATCTTCTGTTGTGTTCCTGTCATGGCTTGCAGCTAACTTCAGTAGTGGGAATTTTTAATTAGGAGTGCACAGTGGTAACAATATATAATTAATCTTTGGATTTAAACATATCCCTAAGGCTTGTAAAGTTAAATACACGCTTAAGTCATTTGCAGAATTATGACCACAGCGTTTATAAAATGGATCTGGATCCAGATTTTCCTCATAGAAAACGATCACTAAGAGGGCCTGAACCTAAGCATGTGGCCATGTATATCAGAAGAAAATTAATCTTCTCCAAAGTAAAAAACCAAATTATTGTGTTGTTTTAGTCTTTTTCTTTCTTTGCTTTTGAAAGCCAAAGTCCCTGAGTTACAGGTGTATAATAGACAACATGGGAGGCTTCTAACCGCTGTCACATTTGCTCATAATCTGATCATGGATTATTCATAGGCAATTTGTGGGGCGCCAGGGGTCAAACTTCAACCTAATCATTTGAATCCGAAGCATCTAAAGATTCTGCTGCAGCAAAATGTTTTGTTATGTGCCTCGTTCTTCTCTGCTGAGCACATAATCACTGCAAACATTGTGTGCGATTTCAATTTCTTGTTCTTGCCAGGAAAAGCAAAGGATTGTTTCAGCATCTTTCACCTCCACCTGGGCAAGGTCTGACAGTGTAAATTAAACGACAGGGGAAGGTTTAAATTCTTCACAGCTGGGCATGAAGGTGGATCCAGTGAAAAGCACTCTCCTGGTTGCTTGGGCTCAGTTGAGGTGATGGAAGCCTTGTCTACAAGGCTGTTCCAACAAGTGGAAGATGGACACCAGAGCAAATTTCAGTTACTACTATAGTTTTTCTGTGCTATCACCTTCAGAAATGACTGAGCACTCAGCTCATCAGTCTTGTGAACTAAGTACTTAAATATGCCATGAAATAACGGTCTGGATTAAGAGATTGGTTTGATGGGATGAATTGAATGGGAAATTGAACTGTGCTTTCTTATTTTTTTCATTATAAAGATAGTGATTCTGTTGAAGCCTCTAGCACTCAGCCAGATACTGCTGGAAAGAGAACTTTACTACAAAGTTCTATTTGTTTGCCTTTTTCTCCATGCAAATAATGCCTGTGATTTCAAGATGAGAATGGGGAAACATTCCCATTTCACTTGGCAGGTTTGAACAGAAAAGCAGTATTCGTAAAACAGCCTATCAGCATGAGGAGATAAGGCTCAAACAAACAGCCATGAGCATGCATTTCATTTGGGGTTTATCAGCCTACTGGGAAAGGACTGGAAATATTCGATCTGTATTTTGCATATTTCAGTGATAATAAAATGAGCTTTAAACAGTCAGTAATATGGAACAGCAAAATAAGACATGGAAAATGTTTATTTATGGACGACAGTCTAAAATGCTGCAGAGATTTCAATATGGTGACATAACCATTCTATGAGCTGTCCCTGTCCTTTTCTCCTCCCTTTCCAGAGATGCATTCACAAATAAAACGTATGCCTGGCGTATATCTGCATAGACTTATTCACTGCATTTCTGTGTGATACCTTTGTTGTTGGGTCTGTTTGGATAAACAACACTCCACTTCATAACACATACATAAATGCAAGATCGATTTACACGCACCCATTTATAAAGTTGCAAAAAAATATGAAAAAATAATGGCAGCGAATGAAACAGAAAATATGATGTTTTTCTCTTGGTTTTAGTTGCTAACCATACACATAGGAAAAAAATCTCAGTAAAACTCAGTCACCATATTGATCAAGAATGATAAGGATGTTTCATCATCTCATCAAATCACGGGAGTTTGCGGCATGCTTTGCTCCATACGTGCATGATGTGCAGCAGATACCAAACATGCAGTCAGCAAGTCTTAATCATAGAATCATAGAATTGCTCAGGTTGGAAAAGACCTTAAAGATCATCAAGTCCAACCACCACCTAACCATTACCCTAACTCTAACAGCCTTCTGCTAAACCGTGTCCCTGAGCACCACATCCAAGCTGCTTTTAAACACATTCAGAGATGATGACTCAACCACCTCCCTGGGGAGCCTATTCCAGTGCTTAATCAGTATTACCCCTGCATATCTTGGGTGATAATTACATTAAATGTCTGGCGTTTGACCTCCCAGCAGCACACAACATGGGATGTCTTCATGAAAACCACAGGGAAACTACGTATGGGAGACAACATATTCACTACGCTTCCTCCTGAGTGCTAATTCAGAAAACAGACATCTGAGGAGTGAATTTAATATATTACTTATGTCTAAGGAAAATGCCCGAGCTCATGAAAACTTATATGGAAAATGTCTGTGGTGTTTAGACTGAGAAGCCATGTAAACACCAGAAGTGCTGCCCCACTCACTAGTTATCCAAAACAATTTTGTATACGGCTGCAAGCACTCCATGTAGGAACAGAAACTGCCTCAAATGACCAACCTCAATCCTACAATAGGGCGGAAGAAAAGGACGTGAGCTTTAAAACAAGTTTTAATACAGTTCTAAAACTTGCAATGGAAAACTCTCAGGATTTCTTTTTAATTTTTAACCAGTTCTAAGTGGGGAATTGTTTAGCTTAATTGGAACAGATTCGGTGTTACCAGAAACATGGACATGAGCATAAGCAAATTTAAGAGATCTAAAATAGAGTTCAGACTACAGGTCCTGAAATCTTTTCACCAAATCTCACTGCTTTCAGTCAACTCTGTGCCTATGGAACATATGAAGCACTAAAATCTGTCCAGTGAGTGTAATAATATTTATGCCTGGTCAGTATGTTAATTTACAGATGACTGACTGATCTGTAAATAATAAGTGCTATTACTTAATCCAATATTTATGCTTTTGTTTGTTTGTTTGTTTGTTTTGTTTTTTTCTTCCCTTAGCTTTTTGCAAAGGATTAAAGGCAGTGTTAAAGTGCACTTTGGTGAACTTTGGATTTAAAAAAATCCTAAATCAACCAAATAGATTGAGCGACTCTTTTAACAGTTAACTCCAATATCTTTTTTACTTTTTATTTTTTCCTATGTGTATATTAGAAATCTCAGCTGATTACTGCTTCATTTGTACTTACAAATAAATGCTGGATTCATTGCCTCCAATGTCAGGTGACTGGAGTTTCTGCACAAGTATCACAATGATGCCAATAAAAAGCACAAAGTTTATCTGGGGGAAAAAGAAAGGACATTACGATGACCATGATTTACTTTTCCAGGCTTCAGATGAGACTTTCTGTCAGCCCTTTCTTGAAACTCCTGACTTGTGTTACTTTCTCTCCACTTGGAATCTGAATCTCTCTCACTGGAATTTGTTCCATAATGAGATGACCTCCAATGTCTTTTTTTTTTGTTTGTTTGTTTGTTTTAATGTTTTTCTTCATATCTTTTTTATTGTTTTGGTTTTTTTTTTACCTCATCCTGAGCATCTTCTTTCTCATAGGTTCACGTTGTTATAACTGTAGTTATAACTTTCAATTCAGGCTTGGTTGTCACCAGTCAGCTTCATAAGGCCAGAAAAAAAACAGGAAACTTAAGGTTTTATGCTGTTTGCTCGAACATCTCTTTCACGATAATTTTCTATCTACTTTTCTATATGAAGATTACAAGTGCTTGGAGATGCCCAGTATTATTAGTTCAGTTACAATGAATGTGTCTGAAGGTTACTGTGCTTTAGATAGTTGTCCAAATTGTTAAAAAGAGAAGCACTGCATCTGATGTAGGCTGTTTATATTCCCACAACAGTCAACAGAGACCTTGCTGACACTCTCACTGTAGTATGGATAGGAACTCAGCATGCCCAGAAGCAGGTACCAACGTCCAGTAAGCTGAACAACTCATTAGGTGCCATGAACCATATTTATTTGGTGCTCAATTTAATTTACTATCTGGAGCAGCCAGCCTCCTCCAAGTGCTACTTACCATGATTGACCCAACCACAGGACCCTTGATCACCCACCACAAGGCAGTGTTGTCATTCATGTCCCAGCAGCTGCGGTCAGCGATGGCGGAATGGGGTGGGGAAAGAGAAGGAAATAAAAAGATTAAGACATAACACGGAAGTAAATAAGCTTGCCAACATTTTTAAGGGGGCAGAGGGTGGGATAATGGCTTTGTAGCTATTCATTTAGTTTCAAAGGTTTCATAGACTGTCCCCACTAAAGCTTTCTTTTACAGCCTTTACCCCACTCATCCGAAACAGAATAAATACTGTTCATTTTTTTTTTGCTATTCCCATTGTAAGAGGATACAAAATAGTTCAGACATTTTGGAAAATGCCTCTGTGCTTATTCCTGTGTCCACCGACCATAAAATTCTAAGATTACCCATTTGGGTTAACATCTGTGTAGAGAGGGATAAGAAGACAAGAATAAAGGATCAGCAGACAAGAAAGGTCCAGGGTTAATGGACACAAATGTTCCTGACCCTGACCATCAGGATTCTGACACGTGTCTAGTACACCAAGATGTACCAGGCACTAGTCATATACACATCCAGGAATGATTTTCCAGTCAATGAGGTGCCACCCTACCAATGAGCAATGATTCACCTGAGAAGCTTCAAGCTGCATGCAATAGTTGCTGTCATCTCCTTTTTTAAGCTGTTTGGAGTGAGTGCTCCTAAATCAAATGGCATTTCTACCTCAATATGGACAACCTTCCTCCAGATTCACTGAAGGATTATGCTGAAGTTTATTCCACCTAGGTGCATTTGAATATTTACCCATGGAGCAAATTAATTACAGAACCCACTTATACATGGCTTTAAAACTATATTTTAAAGCTAAAAAAGCAAAAATAATGAAACAAGAAATGTTATTTCCCCTGCCACATCACACCACCCCCACTACACTACTTTAAGTCATTAAAATTTTGATTGCCAGTTAAAAAACATATTTTATTTGTCCCTGCTTTGCTCCTCTCCTGTTTCCTTTCTGGAAAACATAAAAACATAGAAAAATGCCTTTTTTGTACCTGCAGTTCTGAGAAGGATGATTTCTTTCCCTCCCACTGGGACAACAGCCAAAAGTCCCAGCAGTGGTTGTCATGGTACATTTGTCAGATGCCAAGTTACCATTTAGAATAAAACACTGCTGATCCTATGAGAGCTTGAGACAACTTTTGTGTCATTCAAATGGAGGCGTGGGGGGGGGGGAGTGAAAAACTGTACTTTAAACAAAACTATACACAGCTTTAAGCATGAGGCAGCAAAGCTCAAATTCCATCATCCAAGTTAAAGTGAGAGAAAGTCCAAGGAGCTGAGCTGTGAGTCTGGTTTAGATGTTTCAGTTGAATTGATAAGTGCAACATTTATAGATTCTCATAAAACAAACAATAGGTTTGTCTCAGGTCTACGCATCTGGTAGAATAGGGGAGAAGGAAGCAAATGGAGAGATGGGATGTTCCATTTGCACAAAATTACATACATTTCTCTCTGCCCAAAGTCCAAAAGCTTAAAATCTCCCTAAAATCTATAGGACTGATGGTTGAGATTTTCAAAGCCGCATTTCTAAGTTATCTCACTTTTGATATCCCACATAGGTATCTGAAAGGGGACTGGTGTTCGGAGGGAAGCCACAGTCTGGAAATGAGACTCCTTCTATCTATCTGAAATGAGACTCTTTCTGCTATCAACAGTTGTATTCCATAGAATAAAAGTACCTAAATTCAGTAACTACTTTTGAACCTCTGCATGCATTTCTAGGTCAGGTTCCTTCTCCTAAAAATTCCTCACTATTTGCAAATCTCAGCCTCTCCAGGATGTATATTAATGCAACCTGAAAATTTTTAACAAGTCAAACAATTCTGGAAGAATCTGGGCAAATTCTGATATTCTGTTCCTATAAATAGGCATTAATATATGTCACTTTGTCTCAGAAATGTGGAATTACAGAGGATGGACTCAGTTGTTCTTGTTTTAGTCATCTGTTGAAGATACCTCCAGTCCAGCTGATTAGCTTAGACTCCAGCTGAGACAAGCAGGTGCTTGGAGGGTGGGTATTTTTTCTTCTTTTCTTTTCCACTGCTATGTTTTAAATGAGTACTCTGCAGTGATACATTCTCTCCTAGTAATTCCTTTTCTTCTCTAAACAGACTCTTCCACAGAATGTCTACATAAACTAACTTGTCAACGTCTACGTTGTAGATGTCGACAGTGAACCTGCTCATGCTTACACATGGGTTTTATTAAGAAATTTTTGGTCCAGCCCATGTGACATCTATAAGATGGATGTGGTGGAAAAAAACACCATCTTCTGATGAGAATCACCGAATTTCATTACTAATGCATTGCTGCAGTGAAGATCAGAGGACTGTTTTTCAGGATGGATGACAGAAAGAGAGCCAGAGAGATGAGAGAGGGATATGGTTTCCATTTGGAAAGGCCAAAATCTCATCTCTGTTACACCCCTGGTGTACATCTGGAATGACTCCATTTAATTCAGTAGCACTGCTCTGGATAAACAGGCAGTTGCATTTATCTCCACAGACTTGTCGCTTACAATGATGTGAATCACAAGCTGAAATCAAGGGAACTCTGCCAGTTTCATAAGGAGCAAGCAGGAGGAAACTTAGACTCTGAGGCTGTATTTCAGTCCATGCCTTTGCCACTGTGCTTTCCCAGTTCACTAATTTCTGCAATGTTTTCAGGCTCATGCTGGCTTTTCCCCCACCTCCAGAACAATGCTTGCTGATTTTTAAAAAGTAACCACTGAGACAATCAGCTAGAATCTGACCCAACATGCTGCATGCTAAACAGCTTTTGTAACTAAGAGAGGAAAGCGTGTTTTCTTTTTCTTCCTTTCCTTATGTGAGATACTCCCCCTGTATGCAAAACACAAGGACTGCTGAGCTCTGAAGGAAATTAATGCATCTAGGATTTCTGTTGTAATCATAATAATGACACAATGGGGGTTTCTGGCTTGTTTTTCAAGGAAATAAACAATTTAATTTGTCCTGATGTCAAAAGACAACATTGAGGCAAAGCACTGGTATCCCCAGTGCAGGAAGGGCCTTATGTGTTTTCCAAAAAGAGCAAGATAGGACAAGGATGAAAAACAACCTGGCAGAACAGTGAGCATTATGCAAATTTTGGTTCCAAGTATCTCCAATAAAAGGAGAACTTTAAATACGAGCGTAAATCTACTGTAGATGGGACTTGGGTACGTAATGACATCATTCACATAGATTGAGGTTTTCAAAGGACCATGACTGGATTTTCCAACTGGTGGTCATAATCCCTCACTGACCAGCATTTTTCCTACAGTGTGACTGATTTCAAACATAGCTGTCATGAAAAGAAACATGGATCCTTTGGTATTTTTAGGGTGCACACCTTCCTACCAGACATGCCTGCTGCACTGTCATACCAGTCAGTCTACCTGGATGGACAAGACCATCTCTGTGAGCAGATCTTTCAGATTATTTAGCAAAGAATGCAATATCTTTGTAGATTTTTTTACCTCCAAAATATACCATTCAGGTAGAATCTATCCTCTTAAGCTCTTTGTTAAGTTACCGCATGTCCTAAATTTTATTTATTTACATATTTTTAACGCAGAAGACTAAATGTGGGTTTCTGCCTCACTCCTACCCATCTCCCCAATTGGGTTTGTGGAAAAACTCTTAAGAAGAGGATAAACTCCTTATTCCTTTTGAAAACTGGAGCTCAGCAATTCCTCCTGCAAATTTCACTCATCAGATATCTGCAATATTCTTGAGCTGAACTTAACACTTTGGTCTTTACTCATAATCAGTTGGAGAGGAGCAGGCAATCATATATGCAATTCACCTGATTGTGATTCTAAGATCAGGTAAGCCATAATTAACTGTGCAGGAGCTATTGGGTCAGCTGCATGTTAACAGATGTCCTTCATGATTTCACCAGAGGAATAAGGGCATCAGTATTGTCTCAATGACTATACACTAAACAAATAAATAAATAAGAACTCCAGGTTGAATGCTTGGCTTAAGCTATTTCAAAACTCAAATCAGCGCTGGAAATGGAAAAGGAAATTAATTCACAGAATCATGGAATGGTTTGGGTTGGAAGGGACCTTTAAGATCACCCAGTTCCAACCCCCTGCTATAGGTAGGGACACCTCCCTCTAGACCAGGTTGCTCACAGCCCCATCCAGCCTGGCCTTGAATGCTTCCAAGAAGGGGAAATCCACAGTGCTCCAGGTGGGGTCTCATGAGAGCAGAGTAGAGAATCAACTCCCTCGACCTGCTGGTCACACTTCAACCCAGCCTACAGTTGACCTTCTGGGCTGCAAGCACACATTGCTTGCTCATGTCAATTTTTCATCAACAAACACTCCCAAATCCTTCTCCTCAGGGCTGCTCTCAAGCCATTCTCCACCCAACCTGTACCTGTGCTTGGGATTGCTCTAATCCAGATGCAGGACCTTGCACTTGGCCTTGTTGAACTTCATGAGGTTGCCCACCTCACCAGCCTGTCCAGGTCCCTTTGGATGGCATCCCTTCCCTCTAGCATGTCAACAGCACCACTCAGCTTTTTTTGTGTGTGTGTGACTTGATCACTAGATTTCCATTTCCCCTTTGTCACTGTCCTGAAACGTGTTCTCACACCATGATACATACCCAGTATCATCAAAGTGAAGCCTCAGCACTGCCCAGACAGTGACACAAATTGTCGGGGTGCCTGCAGAAGACAAGACAAGTGATGCCATTATCAGCCTAGAAACAGTCAGTACTCACAGAGAGCACTTCTTAGCAGCTCCTCCACTAAGGTTTTATTCCCTGAGAGCACTCACACACCAAACAACACAACCCACTGCAGTCATTCAAAGCTCTAGAAACATCCACCTCAGTCAGAGGACAGGTGAGCTTTGATGGGAATAAAGTTGGTAATAGAAAAGAATAATGTTCAGATCATTATTACTCAAAGCTGATGTCTTGCATTTTGATGCTTCAACAATAAAACGTAGCCGGGGCAAAACAAAAGCAGAGACATCAGGTTCTGTGTCTAGAGCTCCTATAACCCTGCAAGCACTGCAGAGTGGCAGATGCTGTAATGGTATTATTGTACTCTTCTTATTCCTGTGTGCTTTTGTTGTAAATGACTTGCATATGTTGTGTTTTCCCTGCTATTGTAAATAAGAAACTTTTGCTTTACTTTCACCCAACAGAAATCAGTAGAGAGTAGTTTTCCCTCATTCACAGGAATTTTTTCTGTTTTCTTCCTGAGTAAGAATTAAAAAAACCCAAAAAAAACTAAGAACAAATGATTAAAAAAAAAACACCAAAGCAAAACAAAGCCAAACCTTGGGAACAAGAACGTTTCCTTTCTACTTCTGAGATTTCTGTCATCTTTAAAAAATGCATTAAAGTACAAATTAAACCAAAAATCCACTGAGAAGCCTGGATTCATTTTCCCATCTGAAAGTACAAAAACAGTGTTTATTCAGTGGAAATATTTGAAAAAGCGAATGCTTTCTTGCAGGAAAAGTCTGGGTAAGCTGTTTCTCTGTTTTATGGCAAAGAAAATCAACGGGGAAAATGTCTGCATCTACTGTGGTACCATGGAAAATGGTCATTCATTGAGGTGCCACTGGAAAGTGGTCATTTATTGAGGTACCATTGGAAAGAGGTCATTCATTGAGGTACCAATGGAAAGTAGTCATTTATTGAGGTACCACTGGAAAGATAAGGCACCGAAAAGCAAACACAACAAAAGACCTTGATAACTCCAGCACGCAGCAGTGAACAAGACTGTCATGAGCTGACAGGAACAATTATGCTTCATACATTCTGCAAAGCTGCATTGATGTCATGTTAATTAGTCATTCAGCTGGATCCGCTTAAGTGAGCCTTTGTCAAATCTCATATTCCCAGTCTCAGACATAAAAATACCCCTGTTAGACCTCCGTGATGGATCAAGCCTTCCTTCTGTCACCAAGTGTACACAGAAATATTTGAAAAGAAAATGATGAGAAGAAATGAAATTATAGGCTTTGGATTGAAGAAATCATGCGTGTTGTAATTTAAATTGATGCCTGCTTTTCTCACACGAGAATACCTAGAAAACATTAAGGTATTTGTGCACCCAGATGCATAAAAGTAATAAAAAATTCTTTAAATATCAGGCACGAGCCTGACATGCTACATAGTGCATAACTATTTGCACTACAGACATTTTGTTGGTAGAAAATGATTTGCAAGCCTGAAGATGGACAGGACAGCAGAATTACACTCAAGGTCTCAAAAAAATGTACTTTAAAAAAGCATATTTGAGACTTTGAACTATCTGCTATATGAATATTCACGCACTCACTTTTCTTTAATCCAGGAGACATATACAGTCATCACAACCTTTTCATCTTCTGAGTAATATCTGAAAACAGAGAAACTCAAAGGGCTGCAGGAAAGAGCTGTTCTTGCTAACTGCCATTTCCGCCTTCAATAAGGAGCAGGCATAAGGAGGGATTTCCAGAGGAATCTCCAGGCTGCCCAGCCCTATCCATCCAGCAAACCCAGTGTGCTTACCAGCACCTCGCATATTTAAGAGGACAAAATTGGATCAGTGCAACCTTATGTAGTTCTCATTAATTACACACGGACACTGACATGCTCAGCACATTTTGAGGAACAGATAAACATCCAGACGCAGCAAAACGCTGAGCTGCTGCCTACTGCTGCTTCAATGCAACCCCTTTCCTAGCAGCTGTAAGCCAGGGGGCTTTTTTTTGACCTACAAGGGTTCAAACATGAACCCAGAGTCTGGAAGAGCTTCTGTTCTTGCAAAGCACCAACTGCTCCTTCTGTGTCTGGGGAAACATTACCCAATTTGAGATACTCAGGAAATAACAAAATACTGTACTTGAAAAAAATAAAACAGCCCATGCTGGGAGATTCTCTTAGTATTATTAACGGTTGTCATTTGAGATTGCTGTGTATATGAAGTGGTATCTATAAACTGAACAGCCAGATCTTAGTTACAGTATTCAACTTGAGTGTAAATTTTGAGGCTGCATGAAAGAATGAGTCCATCTGGGTAGCTCTTTTTTACAGATCATTATTTTCCTTGTCAGTTAAGACACTGTGTTGCAATATCCTCATATCCAGATGCACTGACAGACAAGAAATTTGTGCAGGCTCAGCTAAAGTAACTCAACCACCGATATGTATCTGCTTTGCAAAGATGTACATTTTCTTTTAAAATTATCACATTTTTGTGTACTCATCCCCAAGTTCTCTAAGAGAACATCATTATATTTCAGCAGTAGTGTAATCAAACATCTGTGCAGAGCACAAAGGGAACTCTGAAAACCCTTCATCAATAATTTCCCAGCCTTGGTGTGCTATTTCTGATTATCTGCTCTTCCTTCTCTGTCCCTTTACCCCCATTGCAGGGAGTCTTCGCCAGGAGTTGGGAATTTTTGGGTAGGCACAGTTGCCTCAAGAGGAAAAAAACAATGACAACATCAACCAAACAAAAAAAAATCTAAGCAACATCAAAGCAAAATTCTTTTTCAAAAGAAAACTCTTTAAGGTACATGGGTTGTATGTAGATTTTATGCATGAATTTGTGGGTTTTTTTTTTTTTTTTTCCCCAAGGTAATGACAGAAACAGTGTTGTTTAAGTACAAATATGGAGTTCGACCTTTTTCAGGCATCTTTAAAATGAATGCATTTTTCTGCAAACTACAGTTTGCATTAACATGCTACCAGAATCAATTTACCTCCAGGAAACCACCATGAAAAGTAATTGCCCAGTTACCACCTTACAGTCGATCTTCTGAAACAAATCTTACCTTTTCCCAACACTGCAAGTTTCCATTTGCCACCCAGGTATGAGGGGCATATGTGGGTACCCTTTGAATGTGCTTTCAATTTCTCTATTGGGTGGGAGAAAGGCACAAAGGAAGGCTTAGAGAATGGACAAGACTTAGTGTTTCAGCCTTGATTAAGCTGGAGAACTTGTTATTAAGTTCATATCTTGCAGAAGGCAGTTCTGAACTGTAGACTAGACATCTGCAAGTGATGTGATGTCCTCCACGTTTCAATCCAAGTCTATCTAAATAAGCACAGCACGGTTTGGCTTGCAGGATGCTTCTAAACAAGGACTTAACCTGCACTTTGGATCTGTATAGAGGAATATTAGATAGTTCATTCACATGCCTGCCTTCAGGATAAAGAGATACGTTATACACAAGGAATATCACCTACCCCAGCCAATAATGGTGTACCAGTAGAAATACCTCCTCTCTGGGAAGAAGGTTTCTACCAGTAATGTGAAAAGGTACAGCCCCTCAATGAAAAGCCAGAAGTAGTTGGACATGACACAGTAGTGAAAAAACACCATCACTGCTTTGCACTCCACCTGCAGAGAACCAAGGGAAAAAAAAAAAGTTATTTTCATGCTGTTTTGCCTGAGATTAGCAGAGAAAATGCTTTCAACCTCTCCAAATCTGTTAGCGGAAAAGAACACAGCTGGGACTACTGTTACACACTTTTAACAATAAAGTTTTAAAATCCTGAAAGGAATGTCAAGGGCCACTTAGAGGGAAAAGCTGTGAAGGGTAGGTGGCCAATTTCACCAGTGGGAGGTGGCCAGCAGACAGCCTGAGAACCTCTTCCATTAGTTGGGAGTTTGCGCCGGCAATGGACTTTAATTACCAGATTGGAGCTCCCTCCCAAGTATTAAGTGCAGACAAGAAAAGAATCCAGTTGTGCACTAAGGAACCAAAGGAAGGAGGTGAAAAGGAAGGAGGAATGCGGGAAGCCCTGAGAAGGAGCAGGAGGGATGCATCTTTCTGTGTACACACTTGAGAATTGCACTTTCTGACGTGGTTACTCAGGGGAAGATAATGAAAGTGTTCACATAAGTGTAGAGAAAGCAGAGCAGTTTGCTGTGCAAAATGACAGAAACTTTCATTCATTCACTGGGGGGAGAGGGGGGAAATAACGAACAAAAGAAAAGGGAAAAAAACGTCAAAGCCTTTAGTGGAAACTGAGCTCCAACCTGACTCTGAGTGTAGGACACACTTATCTTGGCAGTGTTTCATACCAGTGAGACATCACCAGACTTCCCAAAGTGACTTTTCAATACATCAGAGTAAAATTAGTATATAAAATGGGAGCTCCTGTCTGGAAAAGTGGGAGGCTGTCAGTTCAGACTGGTTCCGAACTGCCATCCCATCCCATTCTCCGGGGCAAATCTGAAACCAGTATGTCTAAAACAGAAAAACAAAGAGTTGCTTTACAGAAGCTCTACCAGTTTGTGCCAGCTGAAGACGTGGCCATCAGAGCTCTCATTGTAAGATGTTTTATATTTGGAGTGTGTTAGGACAAAGAAGCAGATGGCATTTTTAAAAGAGTGTTATGAGCAAAGTGCAGATCTATAATGGTTTCAGATTTTACACAGAGGAGAATTTAAAGCAGGAACTAGTTTTAATGAGGAAGAAGAGGCTAAGAAACTACACAGGTGTGATTTTCTTGTGGAAGTGACTCACAGAGAATTTATATTATAAATGGGTGGATGAAGGCCACTTCAGTTTGGGAACTCAGTGTAATTCCATCATCACTACACCAGATGAGTTAGTTTGTCAAAGCAATATTACCCTTAAATGTGAATGGAGTTTGGTTTCACATATAAAATATAGAAAAGTGCTTTGGTGAAAGAGACTGCTCTCTATGAAACCACACACTGAACAGCTCCCCTTCAGAGACAAATACATAGCTAATATTAACAATTTTAATATTAACAATTTCTTTTTTTTAATGTGACTTTCAGGGCTGCTTTCTTGTGTCTGGATGTTCACATGCCTTACAGGTGACTCTTCCCAACATCCATAGCAAATAAGGCTCTGGAGAAAATCCAGTCTCCAGATGAAGGAAACCATCTCTGCTTCCTTCCCATTTATCACTACATAGATTCATGAGAAACAAACCAAAGCCAGAAAATGAAACTTGAAGATTTGTGCTAATGCACAGTACTGTTTATGTGGGACTATCCCATTCACAGTGAACTGGGAGAGAAGTTTGCCACCAATTACCTTCCCTTCCATTAGCTCCTCAGCCTCTCATACTCAACAGACTGCTGCCTGCCTCACAATTTTTGTGTTATTTCATACTGGAAAAAAAATAAGGGAAAAGGGTTTGATTTTAGTCTTACTTACAGTGGAGATAAAACAGTGGTTGCCATCTTGCTCAGCATAAAGAACTCCATCTTTAATGAATACTGATATTGCACGTAGGATGAATGAAACAAAGAGGTTCATGTGGATAAAGTTCCGAGTGCAGTGAAGCTTCCTAGAGAGGAAGAAATAAAAGGGAGGAAAATCAGTGGTGGAGAATAAAAATATATCTTCTTCTCTTTTTGTGGAAATAGCACCTAGGCCTGTGTACACCTACAGTCAGAACTCCAAGTACCTGGGTAGCAAGAATAGAGACATCTGAAGGGCAGGAGTGTGGATAATTCTGACCCTACACACAACCAAGAGGAGGATTTTCCTGCAAAACCATGCAAATGAACACAAAATAGAGCCAGTCCAATGGAGAGAGTTGCTGCAACAGCATCTAGAGTCTACTGAAATATGACCACCATAGTGGGTCCAACAAGGGGAACAACCAGACTGAAGGGCTGCTTCCCACTTGTCGTATGACATATGGTATAAAAGCTGAAATGTTGTTTGGAGTCGATGAGCTCCAGCCTATTTTCAGCAGCGGTAGAGCCACTGGCACTGCTCTTGTCCCAGCTCACCTGAAACGGCACAGGATCACCATGGCAGTGGTGAGGGAAACGAGGGACGTGCTGTATCCAACTGTGTACAGCGCCTTCACGGATAGATAGTAGTAATCCTTGGAAAACAAACATCACAGGGTTAAATGGTTCAGCTATGGTCACTTCTTGACTGTGTCAACATGTAGGGGGAAGCACCAGCAGCATCTGTTTCTCAATGGATATTTCTCAATCCAGTATCTCAATGTGTGTTAGAGCACTGCCTCATGGTTGGCAGACTCTTGGGTTTGAACACTGTGGAGTTTATGTGTCAGTGAGCTGCAAAAGCTGCCTGTAGTTCTGTGAGCACTACGTGTAGAAAAAAATACTAGTTTGCCAAGGGATTCTGTAGTCAATAGGGGATGTAATGGGGCTAGTTCATGTTCCTAAACATTACAAGCTGTATCAACAGCAAACATTCATATTCCAAAAACATAAACTGAGCTAAGAAGGATACAAGTCTTATTTCTCATGTATTTATGCCCATAAATATCTGACAATCAGAACCTGACCAGAAGCTGGACAAAAGGAAGCTGCCCCCAACTCCCACTTCTTTTAAATTATAAGAATACCACCCACCTGGTTGTCTGACTCTGTTTCATTTTCATCAAAGCCACAGGCATCATAATAATGAGGAAAAGGTTCAGACCAGCCATCTTCAGTGCAATTTCTGCTGATGTCACCTATGTCAAGTGCAACAGGTATAATTGGGAACGTCTTGCTGAAGCAAACCCAAGGATAGACCCTCTATCCCCTTGAGACAAGTCCACAGTACCAGTGGGAGTACTATTAGAGCACCCAAAAAAGGCTTTAACAGAGCCTTTAATCTTTAATGACATCTTTAACGACCTACTTCTATGCTAGGCACTACAGATGTCTACTTCCAGTTGGTCAACAAAGAGCAAAAAAAGATCTAACCAGCACAGCCAGGGCACCAAAGAACTCATTCTGAAGTGGATACAAAAAACAGGGTCAGATAAATGCCCATGTCTCTCCATTGACTCCGAAAGGCAGAGTGGAAACGCAGCGTCAGTGCCGACACTTGCACTTCAGATGACTAAAGAGTAAGTCCAGTGCTTGAATATATGCACTTTGTGTTATTGTAATGATCTATATCTGAGCCATTTGCATGAGACTGGCAAGAAAACATGGTGCTACCACGATTTTTTTAGAACAGGGTCTGGAAGCCAGATAGCTCTGGGGTATCTAAACTGGCCACTGCATATCTGAGTGAGGCAGCTGGATGTGCCCCTATAGTCAGATATCCCACTCATGTATCTCCAGGCTTGGCTCTACTCCGAGGGACCTGTTGCTCTGTAGGAAAACAGAGAATGGAGTGGGAACCTCATCCCTGTCACTATCACTAGTCTATGATTCTCTGATCCTACTATCCTGACAAGTTCGTTTACATCTCTTCATTTAGAAGCCCACTGTGGCTTCGCTTGGCAATTACCCCCTTCAGGTTTTCCTCTTCCTATTATTTGTGCCAATAATAGTTTATGGCCTCACTCTGAAAGGTGTGTTTGCTAGGAGGCTCAAAACTGGCTTATAGAAAACCTCTTTCCCTTTTTCTCTCATTTTCTCCTGTTTCACTAATCTCATTTAATGAGTAGCTCCTAAATGGCATTCGCCAGGACTGCCAAAATGCTTCAAACTGCATTGGAAGCTGGAGCTGGCTGTAGAAGAGAAAAGCATCTCCTCATACTCTCTTTGATATGAGGTGGGATGTCCCCTCATTGCACTCTCAAAGCACCATTACTTTACTCAGAGCTCACTGACCAGGTAAAAAACTTAGAGCTGGTCTGCTGGCTGCACTGATTTCTCTCCAAAACAAAAGAACACTTTTCATTTATTCAGCTATTACCTCTTCTTTTTTTTTTTTTTTACTTTAAGCAGTACAGTGATGTGAACTGATGGAAATAACAAACTTTTTTGTTTCTTCATTTATTTGTTCAGTTTTTTTTTAATGCCAAGATTATGCTATCTCACATCCATAGAGCAATTTAGTCAATTAGCTTATGACACTATTGATATCTTCTTTTTAGAGAACATTCGCCATCCACGTGGCAGAATACACTGATTTAATCACTGCAATAGTTTTACATTGCATTACCTGGCAAATTTTGGTAAATTCACATTCATCTCCAGTTCTTCATGGAGATTAACCACTGAATCATGGTGTTGAGTTTCCTCAACACTGTTTAGTTAAACTATTGTTCAGCAGGCAGATATAATTTATACCAATTGTCTTGCTGGAGCACAAGACTCAATAATGGATGAATACATTTTCATAACACTGTTAAAATGTAAGCTCAAGAAAATGTGTCACCATCATTAAAACTGATTAGAAAATAATACCTAAGTGGAAGGAGAGAAAGCTTGGAGCTTCCTTTATAAGAGAGCTAAAATAAAAAAGAGAAACATTCCATGGTTGTGCTGCTTACCTAGGGGAGTCTCGGCTGTGCTTTCCAGCAGGTCATAATCACCTATAAAAGTGGAAATCCGGTATGAAATTGTTTGGATTGCATTTTCTATGAGGACCCCAACTGATCTCTATGGAAGTCAGTGAATAGAATCCATTTGATTTTTATTTGTTTGGGTCTAAAGGCAAAAAATTCCTAATTCTGTCTTTTGAGGAAGTAAACATTGGTTTACTTGTAAGTTTAAATCAAGATTGAAGCAATAAAGTTTAGAAATTGCTACTGAAAGCAGTGAGCACATGGCTAAAAAAGACAGCAAATCAAACCAGGATAAATTTTATTTTAAAAAATATGAAGATTAAGCATTACATTTCTAGAAATCTAAGGATTGAAAAATCCTTAGAAATCCATAGATACTGAAGTATGGATAAAATTCACAAAAAATGATTTCCATTCATCAAATGATAATTAGTTTCAATGTTGTGTTTCTAGGCTAAGATGATGGCGAATTCTAAAAAATATCAAATTTGTATTTTTTTATCTCGCTGTTACAGAGAGCTACGTGTATTCATTATCACAATAATTGTTGTGCAGAATAAGTTTTCAGTAATCTGAGATTATCACGTCCTTTATAGATGGTTTATGAGAACAGAGGTGTGTAGGAGGTAATTGGCACCACTGGTCCTTACCTGCATGAGTTTGCCCCAAGTTGTCTACTTCCCAACCTGAAATGAGAAGAAGAAAAACAATTAATTTGATTTTGAGGCTTTGCTGCCCATGAAAGGAAAGGGTGTAGTAAAGCCTATGGATCATAAAGGTTGGAGAAGACCTCCAAGATCTTCCAGTCCAACCATCCACCTATCACCAACATTGCCCACTAAACCATGTCCCTTATTACCACATCTACTCTTTCCTTAAAAACCTCCATGGACGATGATGACCTCATCACCTCCCTTTGCAACCTTTGCCAATGCATCACCACTCCTTCTGAGAAGAAATTCCTACTAATACCCCATCTGAATCTCCTCTGTTGCAACTTGAGGCCATTCCTTCTCGTCCTAGCAAAGAACTGCAGGAGACTTTTGTTTGTTTTTCAAGTTGAGTAATCTATGTTTACAGCCAAAAAGTGGTTTTCAGAAGACGGTCCATCACACTGCATTATTTAAGTTTTTTTTTAATTCATGACCTGTTTGTTGTTTGTACTTTTTTTTTATAGGGAAAAAGGTCCTGAAATAAGAATAGGCGGCATATTTCCAAGACAATGTGTCGAAATCCACAATCTGCACATTAGAAACACTAACATCACAACGGGGAATCTTACAAGTTTGGGTTTTCATTTCCTTTTTTCATGCTTTTTCTTGTGAAAAGCTGATATTACCCCAAAGCAATCTCCCACCCAGCCTGATGTGTACTTAACCCCAATTGCACCGGTCAGATTTTCCCTATTCCTGCTGGCTTTGGGCTGGATGGATGCTGCAGGCTGAGGGCAGAAGAGCTGCCCTGTGCCACTGTGTGGTGCTGCTGCATCGCATGCAGCGAGACTCAAAGCTGCCTGCAGGAGCTCTAACAGCCACCCACAGATCAAACAGGACAAGAGAAAAATCCTTGTCAGCCATTCATAGGCTTCCACATCGGGTTAAATACATAACATAGCTTAGCACTGTACCCCCCTGGAATAACCGCTGAACTTCAGCTTGTTCTTTAACCCCAAACATGCAGTTATTTCTTAAGCATGGGCTGCAAAGGTCTTTGTTATTTGTGCAAGAAGCTTTGCTTTAAAAGTGAAATTCTATACAAAATTAGGTCTGAAAAGGAGAAAGACAGCATCCAAGGAAAAAAAATAGAAAAGGGACTCCTTCCTGCACAGCCTGAAGTGCTTTTTATATTTTACTCCTTTTCAGAGCCATAATCAGTTTTGAATTCACTGATTTCTCTCCGCGCTTTAAAATAAATCAGAGATACTTTTAGATCTTAGCTGGAAATAAAAGGGCTTAGTGTGAAGATGATGCTGGAGTCTAGAAAACAAAGATAAAGCTTTTGCTAAGGCCTCTTCTTTTCTGGCATCCCCCCTTTCAGGCAGGCTGTAACGTGTCTCTGAAAGGATGTATTCAGCATCAACCTTCAGCAAACCTACACATCCTGTAGCTCATTACTTGGAAGAGTTAATCCCCAACACTGTAATGAGGACACCTTTGTCTCTTGGCTGCTCTGCCCAGCTTCAGCAGCTTTCCAGATGCCACTTATATGAGATTGCTTAGATGTTTTCAAATACTATGAATACTGAAGATAAGTCAGCAGTGCATTTTTCAGCGAAGCTCTTTTAACCTGCCGCATCACACTGAAGTACCAGATGTTGCAGACAAACCACGACTCTGCTCAGGATTTTGGGCAGAACATCAGGGATACCTCTGCAGAATATTTGCATAGATCTATGTCTCTCCTGAGCCAACCAAAAACAAGATTTAATAAGACTGATTGGCTCAGCCATATGTCTATGTTGCTAAAATCTGAATGGAGATGGCCAGCTTCAGGATATCCCCTGGGAATTTTTGCCTGTGGTTTTACTGGGTGAAGTATTAAAAAGCAAGACGCTGTTCCTGGATCACTGTCCATGTCTATCCTTTAATGCCACTCAAGTTAATAGCTTATAATGGAATTTGTTCCTTATAGGAGTCACCTCACCTAAAAGCCTGGATCTGTTGATGACCTATAGAAAAAGTGCAAAAAAAACCCAAAAACCTAAGAGCCCTCTGACTCAGAAAAATGTGATTGTAGTTTGCCAGTGCCACAGAGTGACTTAAAAACAATGATGTGATGCTACAAATTTTACAATGTTCTCGTTAGAAGAGTGTTGTTAAGTAGATTGAAACCTGGTATTCCTGGTATCTTGGCACGTTACACTGATGGTTCTGACTAGATAGATGGCTGGCTGGTTGGATGGGAGGGTGGATGGATAGATAGATGGATAAACAGATGGATGGATGGATGGATGGATGGATGGATGGATGGATGGATGGATGGATGGATGGATGGATGGATGG